ATATATAAATATGAATATAGATATAAATACAAATATAAATATCAATATAAATATAAATAAATGTATACATAGCACAATTGTATACTGTGATACATTGTTTGTTAAGAACGGTACAATTCAATCTAGGCTCCTTATTGTTCATTAATCAATTTACCAACTCTCCTTAATTTCCTTGCAGTTTGTTATGCCTCTAGGGACGACTATCCGGTACAACATTGCGCGAGCGCATGAGCTCAAGGGTGAACGCGCCACAGCCGAGGCTATGTATAAACAACTCGTGAAGGACCATCCGACGTATATAGAATGTAAGCTTTGTTTACTGTATGACTCTGGTTGCATGCTACGCGACTAAGACCGCGAAAACATGGCGTCTTCTTGGTTTTAAAGGTGCACCCGTTCATAGAACATCTATTCAGTGTTCTTCTATATAATGTATATACACACAACAGCGTACCTTCGACTGGGTTGCATGCTACGTGACCAAGGCCGCAAAAACAAGGCATCTGATTGGTTCAAAGAAGCCCTCTCTGTCGACGTCAGCGATTACCGCACGCGTTCCCTATTAGGCAATCTGCATCTGAGCAAAGGCGAGATAATTCCCGCCCAAAAGATGTTCGAGTCGATAAATAAGGCAAGTGCATGGTGTTTGGAGTAAACGATCCAATCGATTTTAGTTTGGAGTAAACGATCCAATCGATTTTAGAAGATTTCGGGCAACGCGTCTGTGAGATTAAGATGTGAATTCATTATTACTCCCCGCCAATCTGTCTGTTCCTGTTGTGTACAGTTTTGATCGGCCGAGAGCGCTATGTGCTGTGCTTTAAAATCTGTGGAATGTGTGCTCTGAGATCTGTGGAATGTTCGCGTCATATCGGCTGACCCGCATCTATTACTGTTCGAGGGTTGATATTTTTAGATTGACTTTGGTGGACATTTTTTTCGCATGGAGTCATTAAGCTCGTTTTGATTGGGCAAGGGCGCTGTGTCTACTCTGACGTGCATATTTTACAATTGTTATGAGTTGAGTTACGTAGACTTATCAATACCCATCACATGGTATGTACAGATGACTGAGTGTACACAACCTGATGTTCCCTCACCTGTGTATGCATATTTATAAATACTGTTCGCAACCAATGGAATCGCACTCTAAAAATAGGACTCCAAAGAGAAGACCAAGCGGGAGGACATGTACGCACAGGTAGCACTGGGCAGTCTGTTTCACCAGAGCGCCAGCACCGCCAAACGGAACGACCCCAAAGGAGCCCAAAAGGTACGGACCACCCAAAAGACGGGTGCAATGCCCCTTTTTTCAAAGGGTTTATCCCCTGGATAAACCAGACACACACGCCACCTATCTATCCCAGCCTCTTAGGTCATATGCTCACACTACCCCTTTCTAGTTATACTCTAGGCGGGCACAGAATTTCAATGCGAAAACCCCGTAGCTGGGCTGATGCAACATGTCCCTTACCTGCACCACTTTTTCTCTCACGACTATTCTATTTATAGCACGCCGACTACCTAAGGCGGGCACAGGACCTCTATGCCAAAGCCCTGAAACTGGATGGACGCAACATGTACGCGGCCAACGGCATCGGCTGTGTCTTGGCTGAGCGGGGGCATGTCAATGAAGCCCGCCAAATCTTTGTTCAGGTGCGCGAAGCCACGGGAGATATGCCCTTTATCTGGGACAATCTGGCACACACCAACCTGCAACAGAAGCAATACGTCAATGCTATCAAAATGGTAGGTTGTATGTGGGCGGAGGTTCAGATCAGAGAGGTATGTGTCACTGGAGGGTATTTTGTGTATATCTGTGGTATTGAGGATGGTTCACTTATATATAAATATATATGTATATATATGTGTGTGTGTATACCCGTCAGTGCTACTTAGTCCACAACCTGTTCTGTAGTATTTCTCAGTCTCCCACACACTGCGTAGTGAACTATCTCACTCACATAGTTGTCTTATTTGGTGTTGGATTCTCACCCACATCATCGTCGTATCTATTGTTGTATATCGCTTACCTTATTGTCATATATATTGTCGTATATATTGTCGTATTCGCACTCACCTATTTGTCCTGTCTGGTGTTGAATTCTCACCCACATCATCTTCGTATCTATTGTTGTACTATCACTTACCTAAGTGTCGTATCTAATGTCGTCACCTCTCAGTTGATGACATGTTTATCACTTACCTAATTGTCGTATCTACTGTCGTCACCTCTCAGTTGAAGACATGTTTATCACTTACCTGATTGTCGTATTAATTGTCGTCACCTCTCAGTTGAAGACATGTTTATCACTTACCTGATTGTCGTATCTACTGTCGTCACCTCTCAGTTGAAGACATGTTATCTCTTACTGTATTGTCGTAATCTACTGTCGTCACGTCTCAGTTGAACGTACATGTTTACTACTTACCTGATTGTCGTATCTACTGTCGT